ACGGGGTCGGGCCACCCTGTCCGAGCACCACCCCTGAGTTCAGGACTGCAGTGGTGGCAAGAGGGCAGTGGTGGTCAGGGGGCAGTGGTGGTCGGAGGGCAGTGGTGGCAAGGGGACAGTGTGGGCCCCCTGAATTCCTCCGTGGCCTTCAGGCAGGCTTCTCCCAGCACTGGATGGGCTTGGTGCCTCTCGGTCCCCTGACTGGCCCGGTACAAACACTGCCCCGGCTTCTCACCTGACGGTCCCCTGGCCGTCCTCCATGGCCTGGCTGTAGCTGAAACACCGTGCCCGAGAGCCCTCCTGCCCTACACCCAGACCCCTGACGCCCCTGACTCTCCCCCACCCCTCCCTCACCACAGCTCCCCCTTCCTCCTTACTGTTTCCAAAACAGTTTATCTTTTTATCTCCTTGGAAGAAAAGTCCTCCGCAAATCAAAGGGGTCATTAGTATTGTTGTTATTTTGCTATTGAAATCTCTTGCATTCACTCTGGATTATTCATGTGCTTTTTTGGGGCTGTAACACAATGCTGCCCAAGTCACCCCACTGGGCTGAACAAAAAGATGCATGCATCTTCAGGCCAAGTCCCTGTTCCGCTGCTCTCCCGCGGGGCCTGGCCTCCGCCCGCTCTGGTTGATCCAGGCAGGGGTGTGCCCTGGGACCCTGCCCTGGCTTCTGTGCCATGTTCCCAGCCAGATCCTCCCCAGGGGCCCTCTCAGTGCAATGTGAAGGCATGGACCCCACCCCACGCCCTCTGCTTCCCCAGGAGTTTCTCTTCCATCCTTCAGGCCTGGCTGGCAAATGGGAGCACCCTGCCAGGCAGGAGATGCTGTAGCCACGCCCCTGGCCACCATCAGGCCCAGCTCCCCACCCAGGAGCTCTGTTAGAGAAGGGCCCACACCCCGCCCCCTGGGCACTGACGTTCTGGGACAGAAGACAGGACTCTCTAGGCCGGACGCCACACCACTCGGGCTGGCAGACGGCAGCCTTCCTGCCTGGTCCTAGCTACAGGGCGTATTTGGGTGGGACACGTGTTTCCAAAGTTGCTGTCCACTCGGCTCCTCCTCCAAGCCTCCTGTGCTGTCCCCCACCACCCAGACCCGGCCACCCCTCTGGCCTGCTGCCTCTGGTGTGCTCAGGCTCCCGGTGCTGGCAGGTGGAGCCTCCTGCTGTGGCACCCCACACCAGGCCCCCTGCCAGCCAGCGCCAGCACTCGCCTCGCTGTCTCAGTCTTTGATCTGCCTGATGCAGTTTTGTTCGTTTGGGGATTTGGCCACCGGGAACCTCCATGTGAGCGAGATGGGAAAAATCGGGGGGTCTTTCAGAGACAACACATCGACAAAGCCTGTCTAAGGGTGCCACGGGCCGGGGAACGAGTCTCACTTCTGGGCCGGCATGTTCAGGCTGTGTGATGCACAGTCCGAGAGGCTCCGCGGGCCTGGGGTCTCCAGACTGCAGGGCCATGGGGCAACCAGCAGGTCCTGGAACGCCCGCGCACACGGCGGGGAGCGCGCCTCCAGCACCTGGAGCAGACACGCACGCTGGCGTGTCACTGCCACGCACGCCCCAGGCTGTCTCAGGGCTCAAGAGGCGCCAGCCCCAAGAGGACGGTATCCCTGGAGGACGCGCGTGTCGGTGGGGGAGCAGGGAGGGTGGGGCAGGGAGGAGGCGGCGAGCTGAGGTGTGCAGGGAAAACACGGCCGGTTCTGAGCTTGCAGATGACAGAGAGCTGACCGCTCTCCCAGGCTGGGCCATGCCTCTGCTCCATGGGAAGCCACCGTCCCTCTGTCCAGCATGGCCGTCTGGACAGCGGAGGGAAGAGACATCCCCAGTGAGAGAGAAGGGCCGACCGCACACACTGGCCACCCCGTGCCCTCGCTGGGAGCCAGGCCTGACGCCAGCAGGATGGAGATGGGGATAGCCACTGTGCCTTCCTAGTGCCCCTCAGAAAGACGGGGACTTACGTGACCCCATTGAGTGACAGTGCGGACTGAAATACCAGCCTCAGTGTGCTCCTCACGTCAGCCGTGCGCTGACCTGCCCTCTCACGGGCTAGAGCAGAGACGGAGGAGGACCAGATGGGTGCACCTTGGGAGTGCCTCGCGTTTGTGCCACTGGAGCCCCCGAGCACAGCTCCAGCGGGGACCTTGACGGTGGAGCAGGGAGCTTGGGCAGTGTTCTGGGACACTCCAGAGGGACACGCAGTGCCTGCTGGAGGGGCTTGGAGAGCAGACAGCCGTGTCATGGGTGCCAGTGAAGCCCTACAAGAGCCCTGAGCATGTGTTTTCTCCATGTGGGGGCTACTCCCACGTCTGCATGTTCCATGGAAAAGCATCCTGGGGGAACGGTGTGTGGACCTGAGGGGGAGGACAGGCCAGGGGAGGCTGCAACCTCAGTCCTCAGCCAGGGGGACAACAGAGGTGCCATCGAGAGCCACGTGGGCCAGCCCTCCTGCACCCTGGGGGAGCAGATGCGCACCGGGCAGGAGCGGGGCACAGCGCGGGGCGCGGGCACGAGGGGGCAGGGCGAACACTCCAGATGACACCTGCATTCCAAACACGTCCATGGGTCAAGGCCAAAGAGAGCCGTGTCATGTCGCACCAGGATCCACGGACCGTATCCCGCAGACCCTTAACTCCTGTGGTCAGAGGCTGTCTGTTCGCGGCATCGACAAAGCCCAGAGACGCAGGGTGTTCTGACGGGCTGTGTCCATTCGGGTCTCGTTGTTGGTCCTTGAGCTGCTCTGGGGCCCTGTGGCCCATGCCGCTGCCACTGGGACGGGTGGGCAGTGGGCCACACTAAGGCACTGACAGGCCCAACGCGCTGTGTGGGGCTGGGCTCGCTGCCGGTGCCCTCGGGCTCGGGAAGATGGACGGGGCATTTAACCTACATGGTAAGTATTTAGAGTCACACGAGGTAGTCAAGAAGCAGCCCCATACTGAGGAGGGGGTGAGCGACGTGGGAGATACACACAGGGATGGCCAGGCAGCCATCGAGGCTCTCAGACGCCTGGGGCTCCTTACGCCCGTGTGGAGGATCACGGATCGAGCAGCTCAGAGCACAAGACCCACTGCTATGCGTCCTGGTCCCACACAGAAGCCTGTGCATGCCAGGGCAGGGGCGGTGGGAAGAGTCCCTCAGCCTCTCTCAGATGCGACCTGCGGCTCCCCGAGGGGCTTGGAGAGCAGCAGAGACTGTGGCCTGAGTTAGCACACACGTACCCGAGACAGAAGGTGCTCGCACAATGGAGGGAGGACCGAGCCCTCCCTGGAGCAGGGCTCTCAGACAGCTCTTATTCACTCAGCCTGGAAACTCCAGGGAAGGCAATTCATCTTGCTGCTGTGGGGAGCCCGGTGAGCTGCTCACAGCCATCTGAATGCATGAACGTGTGTGCACATCGCACTTACACACAGACACGGGTAGACACACACTCCCCGGGGAGACCAGCTTTAATCAGGGTCGTAAGCAAAGTTGAGCTGCACTGATAAGGAGTCTGCAGTGACCGTAGGAGCCGGCGGAGCTGGGGAGCAGGGCCTGGCTGTGGCTTGCTGCTGCTGCTTCCTCATGAGGGAGGAGACCTGCTGTTTGCTTGCAAAGCCAGCCAGCCATGGCGGAGCTCTGCTTTCTCGAAAACTTTTACCCTTCATTTAATCAACAGATGGACGTGCTCTGCTGTGGATTTTTCTGAGTCCCTCCCTCCAGGAGCTGAGCCGGCTGCACAAATGCTGCCTCAGATGGCAGGGGTACGAGGGCACCCCCGAGGAGCAGGAAGGAGACTGTCTACGATTCAGTGCCACAGGTGACTCTGCTGCCCTGGCCTCAGAGGGCACCCAGGAGCCCTCTCTGAATCCTCCTGCTCACCTTCCACTACCACTAGCCCCAGGGCTGCCCTGGCAGAGAGCCCAGAGGGCCAAAGTTCTTTCCAGGAGCCCCCGCGGGCTCGGCCCCTGCTGGGCTGCAGAAAGGACACCTGGGCGTCAGGGTCAGGTTGCACTTTACAGCCCTGGATCCTGGACGGCGCAGCCAGAGCCCAGCCCCACTCAGGAAGTCCACGACATTCAGCAAAACTCTACCGGTTCCCCGCACTGAATTTCCCCCAGAACATTCCGTAATCACAGCTCCTCCTGCAACAGCAAGGTGCTCACACTCCTGGTGAACACACTGCTCACTCCTGCCAGAAACCTCTCTGGAGCCCAGATGCCCACCGATAGGAAGCCCTCCTGCCTACCTCCCCTTCCCAACCGGGTCTAAAGGAGAGGAGGCACAGGCCCAGATACTGACTGCCTCATTAACACACCCCCAGCACAGGAGCTGTCTGCATGGAGAGTTTGAGCTGGATGTTGACAAGGAAGCCAGAACGCGCAGCTCCCGCGCCCTTCCCTCCTTCTCCAGGATATAAACAGGGCCATTCTGTTGCATTTGCAAAGAAGAGGCAGTGCCAGTGCAGCTCCCGCGGGCAGCGCATCCATCAGCGAGTTTCAGAGCTGCCCACATTCCTGCCCACAGCCTCCCGCGCCCTGACAACGGCCGACTTTCTCCAACTCGAGGCAGCGCGGGGTCCTACCTCGGCTGAAGAGGAAGAAGCAGAGCAAGAGCAGGTCCAGCTGCAGCGGTCTCATTCCTCGGGAGGGCGAGCCGGAGGCAACTTGCTGTGCAGTTACTTTCTGGCCCTGGGCGGCTCGCGGGGTTCAGCCTCTGCCGCTGGTCCTCTGGGAGCGCGCTGACCATCTGTCTGTCCCCGTCCCTCGGTGTCTGCGGTCGGGCTGCCTCCGGGCGTCTGCAGCCAGCCAGCCGAGAGGAGCTGCCTGCGTTCAGCGGCCTCAGGAAGCCGGGGTCGTCAGCAGCGTCCCTGCTCCTAGCAGATCCATTCTCTGGCTCTTGGCATCCGGAGCACACGGCTTCCTCCGGCGGGCGGCTCCTCCCACCGCGCGCCTTGCAAGCAGGGAGTGGCGAGTGACAGAAGGGCTCCTTTCACTGCGCTGGGGCGGGGGAGGGAGGAGAAACAGGTCGTAATTAGAGAGGAAACACTTGGAGAAAGGGGGTCTATGCCGCGGAGGGTGGGAGAGAGCTGCTCCGTTCTTTCTTTCCCCAATAGTGAGAATTCGGCTTTTGTCACCATTCTTGACCAAAACACATCTCGAGCAGGAGCCTCGGGGCCGTGACTGTGCCCGGACGTGGTGCTGCCCAGCGGGAGTGAAGTCTAGGACGCTGCATGCATGCACGAGTGTATGCATGCATGCGCTGCCCTCACAGGGGCCGGAGGAGGCTGGGCTGGATGGGACCTGGAAGGGGGCCGTGGGGGCGGGGCATCTCCCCAGGAGGCCTCTGCCAGCCAGCGTGGGCGGTGAGAGGCTCTGAGTTGGAGAACGGATAAGCATGTTGGCCTTCTCTAGACTCTTTCGGGCATGGGGAGATAATATAACCTGACTGGACCGTAGTTTGTGTCTGCACTGCCTAGAAAACAAACACAGCGCACGGAGGGGCTGGGCGGTGCGCACACATGCCCGTTTATCATTATTATTTTGGCGTGTGCATTTTCTAACAAGGACGGGCACCTGGCTCGCATCGCGGCCTCTCCTCTAACGAGCTCTCGTCACCCTGAGCCTGCCTTTGCTCAGAGCTGTTGTGAGTCCCACTGCGAAGGAGAGGCCAAGGTCACAGACACTGCCTCCAGAGGACCTTCGGTCTTTCACCTGTCAGGAAACCCACACTCAAATCACTCCATTTCCTGCAGGACAGCAACATGAGTTTATCTAGGTCTGGTACAGCAGCCGTGGGGGTACAGCAGAGGGTGCCACCAGGGCTCCGGGAGCCTGCGACCCTGGAGGGGCACACATGCCAGGCCCAGCTGCAGGAGTGGTGCAGGTAGAGCAGTGTGCAGGCGTTACACGGAGGGTGCGGGCACGCGTGCGTCCAGCAGTCAGGACTCTTCAGTCTCTGGACCCTAGGCAGGTCTCCTGGGACCCTCAGCGTTTCGTCAGCCTGCCAGGTGTTGGGGTCTTTGCTGACGGCAAGGCGCTTTCCAGCTGGAGTCTGCACGTGGATGTTAGCGTTAAGGAGCTATCCCTGGTGTTGACCAAGAGGAGGCGGCAGGGAAACGGGTAGGGCTGTGCTGGCAGGTGCCCACACCTGGGCGCTGACAGCCGAGCTGTACAGATCAGTAGGTGTCTGCTCCGTGGGCTCTTCCTTTCTAAACTTAATAGTTTATTTAGCCGCATCCCTTAGAGGCTGTTGAACATATCAAAGGGAAATTTGTAAGCGTGCTTGTGGGGGGTGAGCTGAGCAGCAGAAAGCAAAAGGACACAGCAGACTCCGGCCAAGCTGACGAGCCAGGTGTGGAAGGCCCTCAGGGCAGCCGGAGCCCATTAGCTGGGCAATACGATGGAGCGAGAAGCACACACATGAACTGTCATGGGCCCCCCACACGTGCCCAAGGGCCATCAGGGCCGGACGCGGGATGACAGCGCTGTGCCGCCACAGCAGAGCTCCAAGGCAGAGGAGGGGTGTTGGGTGTTCTCCGGAAATGTACAGTTTAGGCCGATGCTGCTGTTTGAGGGCAAATTCCTCAGTGGCCATGGGTGGGTGTGCTTAACCGCGTGTCCCCCAGGGAAGTGCTGAAAAAGCAGGGCGCCAGGCTGGGGGCGGTGTCCAGAGAGGAGGGCCCAGCGGGGGCCTGACCTCTGAAGGCCCTTCTGGGCTCTCTGGCCAGCAGCCAGCCAGGCCAGGCCATGGCCTTCTCCGCCCCACCCCTCCCGCAGCCCGGGCTGGGGGCATGGGGACAGGCTTGACTGCAGCGACGCGAGGCGCTGGCT